ACTAGTGGAGATGTACAAAAGCATTGTTGTGTTTCTGTTGACTGGTGGGAAGGCGCTCCTGATGCCTGTGTTTCTGGAGAGCTACACCAGTGCAGCTCTACGACTGCTGGAGAAACTACACAAGGTACGGCGAAAATCCACACAACAATAGTGAATGATTAACTAATTAATAAGCTATTCGATTGAATATTCTCCAGCATCAGAGCTGAATTGCTGTTTTTCATCTGTTTTTGCAGACAAGCTTGTTTTAATTTTGTTTGCGTTGTTAAATGATAAACTAAGTGTTGATCCAAATATTTTGGTGCAGGTCAATCTGAAAGTCCATCGTGTGGAATACAACCACTTCTACATCCCTGATATCTCCAGGCTGGTGGACATCCAGGAAGACTACCTCAAATGGTTTCTGCGCAAAGCTGATATTGTGCGTATATCGCTGCACATACGTAGATTTCCTTGTCACTTTTCCTTTTGCAGATGAACTGCAAAAGCTATATGTTAATGTGAACATGAGCTAGACCCCATTGTGCATACAAAATGTCATAGTTACACAAACAAAAGCCTAAAATCTTGATTATCTAAAGCTGAAAATAAAGTACCCCAGATTTTAACACATCCTTGTTTTGTCTTGTTGCAGAAAATGCGATACCCTCCAGTGCAGGTATGTTGATTGAATAACTCTATATCAGTTTGTTTGTAGACAGTTGTGATAATCCGAATCTTATTTCCCAGGGTTCTGTCACGTTATGTGCCTATCCGTTCATATTGAACGCACAAGCCAAGACAACCGTGCTGCAAACAGATGCTGAGCTGCAAATGCAGGTAAAAAAACAACAACAACAACAACTTGTTAACACTCACGTTAGCTTCAGGATTGTTCTTGTACTGAGTTGTTAACCGTTCAGTTTTTGAAATAAGTGTCTTCTCACCAAGGCTGCATTTATTTGATCGAATCTACAGTAAAATTGTGAAATATTTGTATAATTTGAAATTAAACTATTTTCAATCTGAATATATTTTAAAATGTAATTTATTCCTGTGATTGTAAAGCTGAATTTTCAGCATCATTACTCCATAGTAATAGGAAGTTAAAGGAGTACATATTGCATTAGTCCATTGCAAAATCACGATTTGCTGTTGGTTTCAGAGTGGATACAGAGAAATTACTCTGCCTGCTATGAAATATTCTCTATGACTAGTTTTGCCTGCTTGATTACTGTTCAGATGGCAGTAAGCGGCGCTAACTTGCACAACGTCTTCATGCTGTTGACTATGGAACCTTTGCTGGCAAGAAACCCTTTCCTGGTTCTCCATGTACGAAGGAACCTCTTAGTCAGCGATGCTCTCCGGGAGCTCACAGTCTACAATGACGTAGACTTGAAGAAGCCACTTAAGGTTTCTCTTTATCATCCCAATGCCAGACTGTTGTCTGGTCCATATTGTAGCATATTTTGACCAAGACCACCCACTTAGGCATAAGTTTGACTAACATACAATTTTATTGATCATTGCAGGTCATCTTTGATGGAGAGGAAGCTGTGGATGCTGGAGGAGTCACTAAGGAGTTCTTCCTGCTCCTACTGAAAGAGCTGATGGATCCGATCTATGGCATGTTCACCCAATATTCAGAGTCCAATCTGCTGTGGTTCTCTGACAAAGTGAGTTCAGCCATAATACTGAAAAAAATGGCTCGGATATAATGTGAATTCAAAACAAAATTTAAGTGCATATGCACTGTACTCCAATCTTAATATTAGTTGCAATATTTGATAGAAAGAGCCTGAAAGATGTGTTGCATATGTCTTTCATAGCTGTTTTTCAAAGGTAATTGGATTTTTCCATTGGCTTTTGAATTATTGCAGAAAATAAGTTCTGTGAACAGCAAAAGTTTATGATTCTTGCATGTTTTGTTCATCATGATATTCTTCACAACTTTTATGAATTTTGAAGCCTAAATACAAATGCCAGAAGTAAAAAGCTAAATATACGAACCACTCTATAGTTGCATGATTTCAACATCACCACCACTGATCATCCATCAACTCTTTCAGTCTTTAATTAAAAACATTTTCCCTGAAAGTTTGAGTTAGAATAGTTTGCAAGAGCACCCTTATAAACAAACAAGGGGAGTGAAAGCAACTAGTGAATAGATGAATTTACTTGTTCAGTGTGATGACGTTTAATGTCCCCGACAATGTATCTATAGACCTATTTAGCCACTTGTTAGCAACTTTTTCAAGTCAAGCAAAGCTTTAAAAAATCACAAGGGGGGTATTTCTGATCTATTTTATGTCTTAGAATAAAACTTGAAAATATCTTGAGCTTGAGCTCATAACAGGCCTTATTTCAACAAAAAGCCCGTTCAGAAAACCCATTGACTTCAGGATGATGGAACCAGAAGTGCTAAAATGCTAACCTGTTTCTGGGTTTTGGCCGACAAAAATATGTCATACCTGCAGCACTCTATAGTGCCAGATGAATGAGGACATCAACAGATAATCTTATCAGCCTGGTGATTTTGAAATATCTGGGCCAGCTCTGCTGTTTTCATGCAAACATGATGATCCTGCTGGATTTCTATATGGCATGATGACTTGCAGAACACCTCAGCTGAAACTCATGATTTAATGAGTTTCATTTACATTCACTGATGGAGAGGTCTTGTTTGCAGACAAACATTCTTGGATAATCAAAGGGTCGTAATGGAAAGAGGGCTGTTAGATAAAGGAATCTTGGTGACATCAGTATGCAAAAGTGTTTTTATGTGTTACTTATGCCTGTTTGTTTACATTGCAGTGTTTTGTGGAGCACAATTGGTTCCATTTGATTGGGATCATTTGTGGTTTGGCCATCTATAACTCCACTGTGGTGGACTTGCACTTTCCCCTGGTGCTCTACAAGAAGCTTCTGAACGTTTCGCCCACTCTGGATGACCTGAAAGAGCTTTCGCCTACAGAGGGAAGGTATGCAACACAATCCTTTTCTTGACTTTGGATTGTTCATCCGAGAGTGTTGTTCAAAATGGCATAAAAGTAGCCCATACAGACCCGAATTTAAGTCATTATTCACCAAAAAAATCTTTGAATGTGCTGTAGCTCTCCATATGAGATGGGAGTTTAAAATAGGTACAGGATCCAAATCCAGAGGTGCTGGGTTCAGCTTGTTCAAATTAAGCCCTATCTTTATCTAAACTTGTACCACTTAGCACTTACAGGCTACATGTTGTTGTTTTCCATCAAAAGCCATCACTTGCTAATCAAATCCGCTCGGCATCGCCCCAGACCACTGTATCACAGCCCTCGTTAGATCAAATCAATGGACTTCCTGTGACCCCTGAGGCTTAACTGAGAAATCGAAGTCCTAAACAGAGTGCACAGACCAGTGAAGAGGAACTGTTTTGTCTAATGTTTCGCCCTACGCTCGGTGTCCTTTGTCACTGCGTTACATAAACAGGTTGTTTTTTTGTATAACGTTAATTAAAAACCACCCAAAAAGCTTTTTGAACCGCTCAAGTTTGTGAGTCACATCAGACCACTAATTGTTTGCAGAAGCAGACAGGCCAGCCCAGAGCTGATGGCCGGTTCAAGTCTGTAATTGTGCTTTTGGGTTTGCGGCTTCAAGGCTGTTCCCCACATAGTTTTTGAGTCATATCATCTTATGAAAGCAGCCTTCAGCAGACCTTGACCTGGCAATTATAACTTTAAGACCAGCATCAGCAAATATTGCACAGCCGCCCATAGTGGATGATTTGATTGTGTGCTGCTAATGCGTTTAAAAGGATCAAGGACTAATTGGTTTCCACTCAGTTAGATGTGTTTGACACATTGTTGGATTCATTCTTGGATGGTGTTAATCTAATCAACAGCTCAGGAACAATTACAAAGATTTACAGCAACATCACATTGAAAAGGATACTCCGCTTCTACTTTATTTAACTTTAAAGGGGGCATCGGATACCCGTTTTCCACGAGTTGGTATGATTCTTTAGGTCTTCATGGAATGTCTGTAACATACTTTGGTTAAAATTCCTCAATGTTTATAAAGGCTACAATTCATTTTTATTTTATTTCACTTATTTTTGTTTTTAGTCTATGGTTTTTTTTGGGCAGAAACAAACCTCTTGCTTACTGAGCTCAGTAAACAAGAGGGCATTGAAGTTACCTTTAAAGGGGTGATTCATTGCGATTTCACTTTTTAACGTTAGTTAGTGTGTAATGTTGCTGTTTGAGCATAAACAATATTTGCAAAGTTATCATGTCAAAGAAATCATATAAAAAAGGGGGGCGAGGCCATGCTGCGCTGCTTTAGAGAAGAGGAAGAGAAAACTAGAGGTGCACGTAAAAATCTATTCATATATGAATCACGATTCTGTCTTCTAAAGATTCTAATGGATTCACAAGTTTCAAAATCAATGTTCTAAAGCAGCGGTTCTTAATACTGTTCCTCACGTCCCCCTGCTCTGCACACGCTCTGCATCTCTCTCTCTCTCTCTCTCTCTCTCTCTCTCATTCAGCTCAGCTCCAACAATGAACTGTTCCAATTATACACTTATTTTCGCATATAGCTATGAGAAACGTTAAACATGGATGCGTGTGTAGTTGCCGTACTCTATTAAAGCTTTAATCAGGATAAAACCGTATATTAAAAGCTAACATAAGCGGTAGCGATATTAACGATGCCGTTGTTTACAATACATCCGGAGCACATGCCGCTGAGGTGAGGGGCGGGACGATTAGACACGCACTAGAGGCGATTTAGCCAATCACAACATACTGGGCTAGCTAACCAATCAGCCTATTTCTGAGGGAGGGGCTTCATAAAAGAAGCAAATGATCCATGCGTTTCTCAGAGAAGAGAGAGAGTGGTGTGGAATAAAGGTAAATTATGTGAAAAATAATGCGTTTTTTTTTAACGAAGCATTAACACATGTTAGACTGCACCCCATAAACACAATCAAGCCTAGAAATTAGGGAAGGGCGATAAAAATAAAACATTTATGTCTCAGTATTTTCCAAGCTTTTAACAATATTAGCTGTGAACTAGCTAATGAAGTTGCTATTTTTATTATAATTTTATATTAAAATAAAAATTAATGTAAGAACTTTAAAAAGTTAGACTTTTCACTAAATTAATATTTACTGTTATTTAATCATAAGTAACAATATAACAACGCAACGTATATATTTAATCAATTATGTTATATTTAGTAAAAACAGTTTATTTCATAATGTAAACTAGAACTGATTTGTATCTAATAGGACTTTCCAAATCAGTGTTTTATTGTTAACGAAAACTGTGAAAAATTGTTTGTGGTAATTGAATAAAGAAATGAATGAATAAAATTACAAATATTAAATATACAACTTACACTTAAAAAGAATAGAAATTAATGAAAATTAGACATGTTGACTTGGTAAATAACTGAAGCACTAAAATGAATTGAAATAAAAATAAAATAAAGCTAAATAAACACATTTTGACCAAAACAGAATGACTAAAATTTAAACTTAAATTGAAGTGAAAATTGATAATATAAAAATAAAAGCAAATTCAAAATATTAATAAATAATATAATAGCATGTACTAAAATACTAAAACACTTTCCAAGTGTGTCGCTAATTTTATGAGTTTTAAACAAGAACCTATTAAAATATACCCATCTTAACACTCTCATACTCTCGTATGTCATAGAGATGAGTGAACATTGTTTTAGTGAAACTTAAATGTTCAAAATAGTACTCTAATATTGCTGCGATATTCACAATGTTGCTTCATTTAAAGAGATAGTTCACCCAAAAATTAAAATTTCATTATGTTCCAAACCTGTATGAATTTCTTTCTTCCGCTGAACACAAATTTAGATATTTGGAAAGATGTTGGTAACCAAAGAGTTGCTGGTAGCCATTGACTCTCATTGTATTTTTTTTTCCATACTAGTTGCTTCTTTTAAATGTAAACTGAATATATTCATGCAGCTAGCTATAAATATGTCCTGGTCCTTGTTTTGAGACCTCATTTTAATCTGTCTTCTGACTTAGACTGGCCGCTTATGTAAAAATCCCTGCAAACATCACGATTTATATGCGGTCATAGGCAGAAAGCTGTCATTTGTTAAAAGTAGGAGATGATGTGTGGCCCCTTTCCTGCTTGGGTAAGCCAGGGGTTTGCTTTTATATCCTGCAGCTGGTGAGCTCTTAGCTGCGATTACAGGAGGGAGAGACAATTAAATGCCTGTCGATGACTCTAGAGATAAAAAGAGTTATCAATTTGAATTCCAAAACTTCAAATTTTCACTAAATGTTTGTCATTATATGTGTTCACCTGTCTACAGGAGTCTTCAGCAGCTCCTGGAGTATGAGGGTGATGTGGAGGAGACCTTCTGTCTGAACTTTGCAGTAAGTTGCTGGACACTAAAGTAAATATGACCCCTCTAATTCGGCCACGTTCGTCTGATTAGAAGAATATCACTGATCACTATAAATCATATTATGAAGAAATTCCCAAGTCAGTGCTTTAGTAAATAAATTAAACTGAACTTATCCTTGATATCACACACATGCTGCCAAGACGGTTATTTGATGTGTGAGCTTTGACATCTGGAAGATGAAAAGCGTTTGCTCATTTGCCATGTGTCCCGTCAGTGTTTCCTGTTGGATGATGGAACGACATTCAGCAGATGTTTTTTGGTTTATGATGCAGAATTAGGGAAGGGCGATAAAAATAAAACATTTATGTCTCAGTATTTTCCAAGCTTTTAACAATATTAGCTGTGAACTAGCTAATGAAGTTGCTATTTTTATTATAATTTTATATTAAAATAAAAATTAATGTAAGAACTTTAAAAAGTTAGACTTTTCACTAAATTAATATTTACTGTAAAACATTTATGTCTCAGTATTTTCCAAGCTTTTAACAATATTAGCTGTGAACTAGCTAATGAAGTTGCTATTTTTATTATAATTTTATATTAAAATAAAAATTAATGTAAGAACTTTAAAAAGTTAGACTTTTCACTAAATTAATATTTACTGTTATTTAATCATAAGTAACAATATAACAACGCAACGTATATATTTAATCAATTATGTTATATTTAGTAAAAACAGTTTATTTCATAATGTAAACTAGAACTGATTTGTATCTAATAGGACTTTCCAAATCAGTGTTTTATTGTTAACTAAAACTGTGAAAAATTGTTTGTGGTAATTGAATAAAGAAATGAATGAATAAAATTACAAATATTAAATATACAACTTACACTTAAAAAGAATAGAAATTAATGAAAATTAGACATGTTGACTTGGTAAATAACTGAAGCACTAAAATGAATTGAAATAAAAATAAATTAAAGCTAAATAAACACATTTTGACCAAAACAGAATGACTAAAATTTAAACTTAAATTGAAGTGAAAATTGATAATATAAAAATAAAAGCAAATTCAAAATATTAATAAATAATATAATAGCATGTACTAAAATACTAAAACACTTTCCAAGTGTGTCGCTAATTTTATGAGTTTTAAACAAGAACCTATTAAAATATACCCATCTTAACACTCTCATACTCTCGTATGTCATAGAGATGAGTGAACATTGTTTTAGTGAAACTTAAATGTTCAAAATAGTACTCTAATATTGCTGCGATATTCACAATGTTGCTTCATTTAAAGAGATAGTTCACCCAAAAATTAAAATTTCATTATGTTCCAAACCTGTATGAATTTCTTTCTTCCGCTGAACACAAATTTAGATATTTGGAAAGATGTTGGTAACCAAAGAGTTGCTGGTAGCCATTGACTCTCATTGTATTTTTTTTTCCATACTATGGAAGTCAGTGGTGCCAGCAGCTGTTTGGTTACCAACATCCTTCCAAATATCTTAATCCAAATATTTTAATTCATACAAGTTTGGAACAATGGGAAGGGAGATTAAATGATGTCAGAATTGAGATTTTTTTTCTTTGAAAAGAAACTATCCCTTTAATCGCATTAACAAAATTTTTTGCATATATGCTGTAAATATTCTATATATCGCCCGACCCTGTTTAGAATGTGAGTCTGCAATTTTTAAGATGTTTATCAGATATTTGAGCAAAAATAGTGATTTTTTTCCCCCCTATGAACATAATGAGCACTTTCACAGATGTTTCGTCGACATACTAGGGTGAAGGGTTACTTGTATTGGTCAAGGCAAAATGCTCAATGACAAAATGTAACAACTGTGTCCACAGATTACGAGAGAGTATTACGGGATCACAGAAGTTAAAGAGCTGGTACAGGGCGGGAAGACCATCACTGTGGACAAGACGAACAGGTGTGATTGTACACGGAGTCTGTGGTGTGTGTCTCTTTAAATAAAGGTCTGAAAGAGGTCGTGTTGTTCCTGCCCGTGCTCCATATTTCAGTGTCTGTGAGAGGAAGTGTGTGTGTTGTCAGAGGGAACAAAATTGCAAGGTTTCAGAAGCTGCAGAAGCAGATGGGACAGCACACAAATCCAAACAATCCAGAACATTAATCCAAACAAAAAAAAAAAGCATATAAATGAACACACATTTGTGATGTATGAAGAATTGTTGCTGCGTTCACGGATATATTACAGGAAAAACATTAAGTCGAGATTGTATGAATAGGAAAATAGTTTAAGAAAATAGCAAAAGTATTTGATAGGAACGTGCATGTGTGTTATATTTGTTTGTGTATGTGTGTGTGTCCTGCTGTCTGACGGTAAGATTAGGCAGAAGGCCTGTCATCTTGATCTCAGATCAAGGCTCGTTCCCACAAACACACACACACAGCATACCTAACGTTAATATATGACCTCCTGAAGAGATTACAGGTATTTAGCCCAGCTCAGATTATCAGTCTTAATTCACTCGGTCTGGTGTGTGAGTGCATGTGAATATGTGCACTGGATTACATTCATCTGATGTGCTTTATTGATCCTTCAGGGAGATTTGACAAACTGTTGACTAGCTAACATAGTTCAACATTCCCTTTCAGTGGCATGTACAATCATTGATAATATTAACTAATAATAGGTCAACTCTTCTGGGCAACTAACACAATGTCATAACCAGATACACCAAGAATGGTAAAGGACATGGTTTCTTACGTCACAACAAAATCTAAAGAAAGGAATAATAAAAGCCTATTTTTGTTTCAAAATTCAGTAATGTGTTCAAATTTAGTTCTTATTATTTGTACAGTATTTTTTTACAGATTTTTTTTTATTAATCTAATGGGAATTATAATTACCGGTATATAACATTAATTATCGTCTTTATCAAATGACTGTAATACCATGATAAAAAAATAAATTAAAAAAATCAGTGTAAAGGTAATACAACAAATAATATCATGACGTATAACTACATATAAACAGCAGTGTGCTTATTTAAAATATAAAATGTGGTTAATTGTCATAAAAAGTCACAAATGCCAAAAAAGCTATATATATGCAGTGTATATATACAGTATATATATTAGGGGTGTAACGGTTTGCAAAATTCACTGTTCGGTTCGATACGACACAGTGGTGTCACGGTTCGGTCCGTTTTCGAAAGGGGGAGGGGGGGTTGGGTAATTGCTTTCGTCGCAATGTTGGAAATATTTATGTTTTATACCATGAAGGCTAGCCAATAAATATCACTAGAAAGTGAAAGTAAAAACGAAATGACGGAGCTTTTCTTTATCTGACGCTGCATATTCTCTCAGAGACGACGAGAGACCAATCTACTTCAACATATGCTGATTACGGTATATAGCTAACTGTTTTAATTTATTCCCGTAATATTTCTCTTGTGGCCCGTACATAGTAAAAAA